TGCTGTCTGCTCAGGGTCCGGCCCGGGCTGGCCTGCGGATCCTCCTGGGAGCACAGTGTGGGGGCACGGGGACCCCACTGCTCCACGGGGTGCATCAGGTCTCTGAGCGGACCTGCGGCCCCTGGGCCTGGTGGGAAAGGGGGCCCCAGCCCTGGTCATCTTTGAACCCACACAGTGAAAAGGGGCCCCTGGGGGGGCAAAGGGAGCCCCAGAGCCAGGCCTGGAAACAGTCGCAGCCAGGGCCTCACTGGCCGGGGCCGCGGCAGGGCCTCACGGCGGGCGGAAGGGGGCGCCCTGTTTCACGGAGCCCACAGCTGCTCTGCTGGACTGGAAAACCTCACTCAGGCCACCCAGGGCTGCCGGCTTCCTCCTCCCGCCAGTGGCTCACCCACACGTGAGCACCCCCAGGCCCGGGCTTCGCCTCACCCTCGTGCCCACCCCCACAGAATGCAGGCATGCAGCCAGGCTGGGCCCCAGGCCCCCAGCCTCCCCAGAGCCCTGGCGGCTGCATACTGTGCCCGTCTGGGCGTCTCCACGCGTGCAGTCCAGACTGGAGCCGTGAGCCCTGGCACAGGGCCTCCCCCTCTGGGCCGGGACACCCCGCACCACGCTCAGGCCCTCGCGCAGGGGGCCGCCTCGGGACACGCGCTGTCCACAGACTGGAGCCGTGAGCCCTGGCACGGGGCCTCCCCCTCTGGGCCAGGACACCCCGCACCACGCTCAGGCCCTCGCGCAGGGGGCCGCCTCGGGACACGCGCACTGTCCACAGACTGGAGCTGTGAGCCCTGGCACGGGGCCTCCCCCTCTGGGCCAGGACACCCCGCACCACGCTCAGGCCCTCGCGCAGGGGGCCGCCTCGGGACACGCGCACTGTCCACAGACTGGAGCCGTGAGCCCTGGCACGGGGCCTCCCCCTCTGGGCCAGGACACCCCGCACCACGCTCAGGCCCTCGCGCAGGGGGCCGCCTCGGGACACGCGCACTGTCCACAGACTGGAGCCGTGAGCCCTGGCACGGGGCCTCCCCCTCTGGGCCGGGACACCCCGCACCACGCTCAGGCCCTCGCACAGGGGGCCGCCTCGGGACACGCGGAGCAGGAAGCCCTGAGCGGCTGCAAACGGGCCTGGGGAACTTGGGGCAGAAAGGGGATGTGGCGGGAGGCCAGGCCAGCTCAGAGGCAGCGGGGCCGGGGTCACCGCCTCGTGACGGTCACTCCCACGGCGGCTTCCGCTTCTCCGCTTCCCTGCTGGGTCACCCGGCCCATCTCAGCCGAGAGGGCGGGCCGGCTCGGGCACGGCTACCCCCGGGGAAGACGCCCTCTCGAGAGGCGGGCGCCAGGGCTGGCGGGGCTGGCCGCAGGGTGTCCCTGGTGGGCCCCGACGCAGGACAGGAGGCGCCGGCGGGTGGGAGCGCTTTATTGTGTCAGCGGTAGAGGAAGTCGGCCTGGATGTTGGCCGAGATCTCGGCCTCCCACTTGTCCCCGTTGTTCAGCAGCTTCTCCTTGTTGTACAGCAGCTCCTCGTGCGTCTCCGTGGAGAACTCGAAGTTGGGGCCCTGGGGTGCAGGCGGCGCGGGTGAGGCCCCGCCCTCAGCCCTGCCCCGCCCAGCCCCTGCCCACCTCCACGATGGCTCGAAGTTGGGGCCCTGGGGTGCAGGCGGCAAGGGTGAGGCCCCGCCCCCGCCCGCCCAGCGCCCGCCCACCTCCACGATGGCTCGAAGTTGGGGCCCTGGGGTGCAGGCGGCGCGGGTGAGGCCCCGCCCTCAGCCTTGCCCCGCCCCCGCCCGCCCACCTCCACGATGGCTCGAAGTTGGGGCCCCGGGGTGCAGGCGGCGCGGGTGAGGCCCCGCCCTCAGCCCTGCCCCGCCCCCGCCCGCCCACCTCCACGATGGCTCGAAGTTGGGGCCCTGGGGTGCAGGTGGCGCGGGTGAGGCCCCGCCCTCAGCTCTGCCCCGCCCCCGCCCGCCCAGCGCCCGCCCACCTCCACAATGGCGTCCACGGGGCAGGCCTCCTGGCAGAAGCCGCAGTAGATGCACTTGGTCATGTCGATGTCGTAGCGCGTGGTGCGGCGGCTGCCGTCGGCCCTGGGCTCGGCCTCGATGGTGATGGCCTGGGGGGAGTGGCCAGGGCACTGCTGCGCCGCCCGCCCCCGCCCGGTGCCTGCCCGGATGCCCTCAGCGCTCCCAGCCTCCTCCTGTGCCCGCGTCTCCCCCGCCCGAGCCGCGGCGACTGCGGTGTGCTGACCTGTCGCGGAGGCCTGGCCGGCCCGCTAGACGGACGAGAGCTGAGACCAGAGAGGCTGACTCTCCCAGAGCGAGGCGGCCTTGCAGGCCCGCCCTGAACCCCCAGCTCCCAAGGGTCGGCAGGGGGAGGCGTGGCCGGGGGCGCCCCAGGAAGGTCAGCCCACTACCTGGGACTGTGGCTGGGGCTCCTCTTCTTATGCCTACAGAAATGGGAGCAGGGGCTGCCACCTGCGGCGCCGGCATCCCATATGGGCGCCGGTTCGAGTCCCGGCTGCTCCTCTATGATCCAGCTCCCTGCTAATGCGCCTGGGAAACCAGCGGAGGACGGCGTGGGCCCTGCACCCACCGGGGAGACCCAGGGGAGGCTCCTGGCTTTGGCCCTGGGCGTTGAGGCCACTTGGGGAGTGAATCAGTGGGTGGCACATCGCTCCCTCTCTCCCGCTCTGCCTTCCAAGTCAATCAGTCTTGTTTATTTCTTAAACAGGCGCACTTGCTACCTCCTGGGGCTGCCGTAAGGAGCCAGCGAGGTGACACAGGCCCCGCCCGTGGCAGCACTCACGCCACACAAGCCAGGACGCTGTCACTGCCCCGCTGCAGGGGTGCTGGGCGGCTGCACGGGCCCCCACGGCCAAGGCCCCCCAGGCTAGAAACGGGCCAGGACCAGGCCAGAGCCACCCGGAGTGGGCGCAGAGAGGGCCGTGCCTGTCCGGGCTCTGCTGGGCACTGTGCCTGCGCCACACCCCCCACAGGACCCCAGGCAGGACCGGGAGCGCCTGGGCTGGGCCTGCGAGACACTGGGTGGGACAGGATGAGGCTCACAGAGGCAGGGCTCACCTGGGGGGCACACGGGGGCGGGGTGGGCTCACCTGGGTGGGATGGGGCTCACCTGGGGGGCACACGGGGGCGGGGCGGGGCTCACCTGGGGGGCACACGGGGGCGGGTGGGCTCACCTGGGCGGGGCACACGGCCTCGCACAGCTTGCAGGCGATGCAGCGCTCCTCCCCCGACGGGTACCGGCGCAGGGCGTGCTCGCCCCGGAAGCGTGGGCTCAGCGGGCCCTTCTCAAACGGGTAGTTGATGGTGGCCGGCTCCCGGAACAGGTAGCTCAGGGTCATGCCCAGCCCTGGGGGCAGCGCAGCGTGGTCGGGGGAGCGCCCCTCCGCCCCCACGCCGGCGCCCGCCCCGCCCCCGCCCCCAGCACCCACCTCGGAAGAGCTCCGTCCACATCAGGGTCCGGGCCGCCTGGTCCGTCACGGACTTCATGTCCATGGCGGCCTCCTGGGCGTTCACGTACTCTGCAGGGAGGCCGGCGAGGGGGCTAGAGAGGGGCCCGGGCCTGGGAGCCCCGTGCCGAGGCGCAGCCCCCCCCCCACGCCCCCTCCCCCAACTCCCCAGCCAGCAGCAGGGCCCAGGTGGACGGGGCACTCACTGTAGGTGGCGGCCACGGGGCTGCTGTGCAGGCTTCTGCCACTCGGGGGTCCTGCAGAGAGGAGGCCGGGCCATGACCCCGTGCCCGGCACCCCCACCCCCACCCCCGGGAAGCTCCCTGTCCTACCTGCACGGGCGGCCCGGGCCAGGGCCCGCAGCAGCGTGGGCGTCGGCAGGCGGCGCATCTAGGGGTGTTAGGCAGGAAATCAGATATGAGCGGGTGTGTGTGACAGCCCTAAAGACGGCTATGTCCAGCCCCGCCCCCTTCGACCCGATAACCTGCCAGGTGGGGGCCCCGCCCCTTCTGCCTGCCGAATCTTCCAGTCTCCCGGAGCAGCCCAGTGTCTGCATCTCAAACACCCTGCTCTGACCCCCATTCCCCAGGGGCCTGCTCACCCTGCCTCTGAACCCAGGATGGCGCCAGCGAGGCTCCCTCCTGTCTGATACCTTCGGGGGAAAACTAGCTAGGAGCTTCTTAGTATCTACAGCCATAAAGTCCTTGTCTCAGGAGGAGACGTGTGAAGACAGAGACCCATCCCCTCAAAACCCCGGCCTCAACCGGATCCTCCCCTTAAAACCCCGCCTCAACCGGACGGCACTCAGCCCCCGGCCTCTCTGCTGAGCCGCCCGCCCGCCTGCCCGGGTCTGATCTCTCCTCTCAACCATGTAACCCGCTCCTCCCCCTGTCCGAGCGACTGGGCTCTCTCTCCCAGGTCCTGTCTGGAGAGGTGCCCATCCGTCCTTACGGACGTCCCTGCCCTAATAAACTTTGTTACTTTTACTTTCCACTACTCCGTCTCACGCCTGAATTCTTTCTTGCGCGAAGACAAGAACCCTGCCATTCTCTGGTAACGGGGGCATCGGAAGGGAGGCTTGGGTGGGCTCCGGATCTGCCCCCCCCAGCAGCTATGGGCCTGCAGGGTCCCCGGGTCCCCGGGCCACCCGTTCCTGTTAGGGACAGGACACCCTCCGGTCCCCAGGGCGGCACGGCCCAGCCCAGCCCTGCACCCTGAGCCGGCTCTGCGAGGAGCCCCCACGGACCCCAAGTTCCACCGACCCCACCTCCTTTGTTAAAAAAAAAAACAAAACAAAACTATTTATTCGAAAGGCAGAGAGAGCGGTGCAGGCAGATTTGGACCCCCAGAAGGCTGCCACAGCTGGGGCTGGGCTTGGCGAAGGCGGGAGCCTGCAACTCAGGCTCCCACGTGGCTGGCAGGCATCCACCTGCTGCCCCCACGGTGTGCATTCACTGGAAGCTGCGACGGGAAGCGGGCACCGGCTATGGGTGCGGGCACCGGCTATGGGTGTGGGCACTGGCTATGGGTGCGGGCACCGGCTATGGGTGCGGGCACCGGGTATGGGTGCGGGCGGCCCTGTCACCGCGGGTACCGGGCCGACCGTGCGGGCACCGGCTATGGGTGCGGGCAGCCCTGCCACCGCGGGTACCGGGCCGACCGTGCGGGCACCGGCTATGGGTGCGGGCGGCCCTGCCACCGCGGGTACCGGGCCGACCGTGCGGGCACCGGCTATGGGTGCGGGCGGCCCTGCCACCGCGGGTACCGGGCCGACCGTGCGGGCACCGGCTATGGGTGCGGGCAGCCCTGCCACCGCGGGTACCGGGCCGACCGTGCGGGCACCGGCTATGGGTGCGGGCAGCCCTGCCACCGCGGGTACCGGGCCGACCGTGCGGGCACCGGCTATGGGTGCGGGTGGCGGGGGGTAACCGCACAACGCGGAGCCCACCGGGCCGGAACCCCTTCCCCCACGAAGGCCCTCCCGGCACCGTCCCCAGCCGGCCGAGTGACCTTGGGCGGGTGACGTCACCGGCCTCGCTCGGCCACGCGTCCGCGCACCTGTGGGCGCCAGGCCGGGGCTCTGTGACCTGTGGCCTCCAGCGGGGTCACTCCGTTTGACCACTGACTTCAGCGCCAGGGAGCCCACCCGCGACCTTCCCCGTGACCTCTGACCCCACGGACGCAGGAGGGGGCCGGGCGGCGCATGCGCCCGCCAGCACTGGCTTCCCGGTCAGTCGGCTCCACGCTGAAGGACGCGGAGGCCCCGGGCTGCGGGAGAGCCGACAGGGAGTCCGGGCGCGGAGCTGGCGGGGGCGACGAGGACACCGCGCTCGCCCCCGGCGCCGCGCCACCCCGGCCTGCCGTTTACGGCCGAGCCCCGAAACCCACCTCGCGGCGCTGCGGCTCCTTCTCGGCTCCAGCCGGCCGGTCAGCCGGGAGGCGGAGCCTACGCTCTGGGACTCTGCCATTGGGCCGGCTGGCTTCACTTACTTAGCGCCGCTCCTCTGTGTTGTGGTCTGATTGGCCAGTACCCTGACGTAAGAGGCGAGACCCGGAAACATCTCTCCTCTGGTTGGCTGAGAGGCGGCGGGCTCTTGAAGGTTCATAGGGCGCCGCCATGTTGGTTCCAGGAGGCCAATAAACGAGGACCCGCGAGCCTCTGGAGGCGGGACATCCGGGGCGTGGTGCAGGCTGTGGCTTGGGGAGTTGGGGGCGCTGCAGACTGGGCGGGTGGTCTAGGTGTGGGCGGCTGCGTTTAAAACGGTAACGGTGGCGGCGACGGTGGGAACCGCCGCCTGGTAGTGACTGCGAGTATCTAGTCCTCACGGCAACCCCGCCTGAATTTGCAGACGGGGAAACTGAGGCACGGACGCGTCTGGTGACCCCGCAGGCCCTAGAGCTGCGGGGTGTGGCCCCGGTGTGTGTAACACAGGCGCCCCGCCTCTCCACCTGTCTGTGTTCGCGTGGATTCTGTGGTTGAGAGGCCTCGGGAAGTCGGGGGCGCTGGTCGGGGTGGGGGGCTTCCTGGAGGAGGGCTAGGAGAAAGGCAGAGGGGGGCTTGTCTGGGGCGTGCGCAAAGGTCCTGTGGTCGAGGACGGGCCCTGGCGACTGGAGGACCGGCGGTGCACTGGGGCCCTGCGTGTGGCGACTTGTGCATGGGATGGAGTCTAGCAGGGGCTCCAAATGGGTGGGACCCCCCGATGTGGGGGGCTGAGTCCAGAGTGGGACAAGCTCGGGGGGCCGCGGGCAAGGGAGACCCCGCCATCAGCCCCACCGGCCCGGCAGGAGAGACCACACGGACGCCGGCCTCGGGGCCACGGCTCCCCGCTTTAATCCCAGTAACAGCCCCGGGAGGCACCGCCGTGCGGCACCTCGGGGGCCCGGGCGCAGATGGGGAAACTGAGGCTGGGGCGGGTGGCTGGCGCGGCGCGGCGCGGGGCTCAGAGCAGCGCGCAGGCGCAGCTGCGCTCGTCCATGGCCCGCAGCAGCGCGCGCAGGCGGCCCGGCGAGTAGGGCGGGTAGCGGAGCTCGTTGAGCTTCTCCAAGCCCGGGCTGCGCAGCAGGCAGGCGCGGCGGTGCGAGAAGGTGTCGAAGGAGAACCTGCCGTGGTAGCTGCCCATGCCGCTGTGGCCTGCGCGAGACGCGGCGGTCAGCGCCTCGGGCGGCCCGGGCCCTGCCCTGCGCAGCCGCGGGCGCCCACCCCTTCCTCGGGTCCCCCATCCGTCCAGTCGCTGGGCGTGAGGCAGGACTGAACCCTAGCCTGGCGCCAGCACCGGCTCAGACAGCAGCGGACAGCAGGTGCCAAGGTCCAGGCGGCTCCTGGACCTGATCCCCGGCCCTGCCACAAGCCAGCGGTGGCCTCTTGTACCTCGGCCCCTCCCCGTGACAAGGGGTGGCAGTGCGCCCTGCCCCCGGCCGTGGGCTGAGCAAGCGTTGAGTGGTGCAGCCTGGCTGGGCACCGGGAGGGCTCTGACCAGGGAGGCCCGGGGACACGGCCTGGGTGCAGCAGGGGCGTCCCGGAGGGAGTGACCGCCAGGAGGGAAGGGACGGGAGACCTGGGGCTTGTCCGGGACCTGGGCTGGGCCCAGTGTGTCTGGAGCAGCAGGCTCCAGGACAGGCCGGAGCCGGATTCGCCCAGAGACCCGCCCCACTGTCCCCTGCTTGTCAGGTGGAGGGGGCCTGGTCTCAGAGGAAGTGGCCGCCCTGGCTGAAGCTGGTGGCCGCGTGTGGGTCGGGCGGGCAGCTCCCTCCCGCGGCCCCCCACCCGGGGCAGGCGGCGCAGCGCAGTCATGGCCGTGATGCCCCCGCTGTGCGGGCACAGGTGGGTGTGGGAGCCGGAGGCCGGGCGGCCTTGTCCGGACGCTGTCACCTACCCACTCCTCCGAAGGGCAGGCTGGCCAAGGTCATGTGCATGAAGCCGTCGTTGCCGCAGAAGCCCCCGCTGCTGGTCCGCTCCAGCACCTGCCTCACCACCTGGGAGGAAGCGCAAGTGGGCAGGCGCTGGCCGCAGGCCTGGGGAGGCTGCCCCGTGCGTGCGGGCTGAGCTCCGTGAGGGGGCTGCAGGCGGGCTGGGGGTGTCTCTGCAGCCACCTCTCGCCAGCCCCCGCCTGGTGTGGGGACGTGCAGGGCCCTGCGTGACGTGGCTGTTGTGTTCCGGGGGTGCAGGCAAACAGACCCCCCAGCCCCCGACAGTGGTGCCCAGAGACCAGCGGCCGCTAAGCCCTGGGACGCAGCTGCACCTGCACCCAGCTCGCGAGGCCCTGCGTCCTCAGCCCGTGGGTTCATTTGCAGAGTGAGAGGTGGGCGACAGGAGGAAGTGGGCCCCTCCCCCAGTGGGGAGGCCTAGGGACCAGCATTAGCAACAGGGCAGGACCGCGGAGAGCACTGGGTGCGTCCTGTGCCGCTGCCGTGTGCCCTGGCACTGAGAGCCACCAAGGGCGGCCGCCCCTCAGCGGGGAAGCCTGGGCCTCCTGGAGGGCCCCTGGAGTCGGGTGGGGCCTGGGACTGCTTGGCTGGGGCGGGGTGGGGTTGGTGCCAGTCGGGGGCACGACAGGGGCAGGCCCAAGCCTGGCCTTGGATTCTGCCCCAAAGCCAGGTAATCATGGCAGGAGAGATCTCCCGAGGAGTCCGGGGGATGCCCTCAGCAGGTGGGCGAGGCTTAGAGACCTGCGGCTTCCAAAGCCGGGAGAGGGCACCCGGGACCCTGCAGCGCAGAGCCCTGCGGGCCGCAGCCTGGACGGGGACTGAAGCCGATCGCTGGCTGCACATGGGCCCCAGGGAACCCTGCCGGCCTCCGTGGGGTCTCCGCCAAGCCCCAGCCCGGGCGCTCGGGCCCTCGACACTGCAGCCCTCTGTCAGTCTGGGCTGCTCCCCAGATAAGACACTTCTAAACCATCGATTGGGGCGGGGGGAGTCGGCTGAGCGCTGGCTGGGTGGAGACAGGTGGTGTCTGGTGTGTGCTAAGCTGGAGACACACCCTGTGCCTTTGAGGCCCCCAACCTGTCCCACGCGGAGACCAGAGTGCTTCCTGTGTTACATCATCCCCTCATCCCCTACCCCCACCGCGCCACCTTCAAGCCACTGGGCCCCGGGTGAGGGACACGCAGGTGGGGGCTACCCTGGAGGGGCCCTGGCTGGGGTGGGAGGTGGAGGGGGGAGAGGCTGCTCCCAGGACATGGGCGGGGATGGAGCCAAGAGGCCCATGCCGGGGAGTCCTGCAGCTGCCCCAGCTGCCCCGAGGGGCCTGACCCCCTGCTGTCACCTGTTCCCCACCCCCAGCCCGCAGGGCCCACCTGGCTGCTGTTGGAGAAGGCGTACAGGGCCAGGGGCTTCTCCCGGCGGTTGATGAAGGCGACGGCCTCGTCCAGGCCGCTCACCGTCAGGATGGGCAGGATGGGCCCGAAGATCTCCTCCTGCATGACCGGCTCCGCCTCCTGCACGTCCACCAGCACCGTGGGCGCTGCGGGCACGGGCGGCTCAGACCTCGGCCCGGCCCCTGGGGCAGGGGGCTGGGTGCAGTAGTGGGCGGGGGGCCGGTGGGGAGGACGGGGTCTTAGGGCCCTGGAGGCGGAGGTCACACCCAGGCCGTCCTGAGCTCAGGAGGTGGGGGCTCGCTTAGAGCCTGGGGCTGGGCTGGCAGGATCGGGGTCACGGGGTGGGGGAGGGGCAGGTGTTGAGAGCCTGGCCTGGCACTGGGCAGACGCATGGCCCAGGGTGTGGCGGGGAGGAAGTCCAGCCCCGGCCACGCTGAGCGGAGCCTTAGGCCACCAAATCGTGGCACCAGAGCTGTGGCCGTGGCCTGGGCTCGAGCAGCAGGGCCCCGGTTTGGGGGTGTGGTCCGGCCTGGCGGGGTCCCGGCCCCGGGGGGCTGGGCGAGGAGAGGGGCTCACCGATGTAGCGCTGGCTCTCGTCGCTCTGGCCGCCGATGGCCACGCGGCCGCAGCCCAGCAGGGCCTGGAGCCGCCGGAACTGCTTCTGGTTGATGATGCGGCCCAGGTTGGGGGAGCGCTGGGGGTCGTCGCCGTAGAAACGGGTGATGGCCTGCTGCAGGGCGGGCAGCAGGCGCTCCCGCGTCTCGGGGCTGCACAGCACGTAGTCGGGGGCCACGCAGGTCTGGCCGGCGTTGAAGTAGCGGAACCAGGCCACGCGGTTGGCCACGGTCTGCGGGTCGCAGTTGTCGTCCACGTAGCAGGGGTTCTTGCCGCCCAGCTCCAGGGTGACGGGCGTCAGGTGCTTGGCAGCGGCCGCCATGACGATCTTGCCCACACGGGGGCTCCCTGGCATGGAGAGAAAGCAGTGGCCTGGGGGTCCTCCCGAGGTTGGAGCTGATCCGGGCCTCTCCTGGCCACCTGCTGTCCCCTGCAGCCCGGGACCTGCTCATGTCCCCCTGGACCAGCCTCAGGACACAGGAGCCTCCGGCAAGGCGAGCACACAGCGGCCACCACTCTGCCCCGCAACTTCCCCCTGCCTGCCCCGACCCTGCTCACCTCGCAGGTGGCTCTGAGTGCAGCTCTGCCCCTAGCCCATCCAGCCTCCCCCCTAGAACCCTCGGGGACCACTTATCACCCAAGGCCAGGGGCCAGCTTTTGGCCTGGCCGGCATTTGTGTCCATTTGCCCTGGGAGCTGACCCAGCAGCCCCGCCACCCTCCCAGGCCCCCTGGTGTGAAGTGACCAGGTCTCAAGGGCACGGGCGTCTGCACACCCACCCGGCTGACCTCATGTCTGCAGCCCGCGTCTGGCCTGCACGCCGCCTCGGGCCTGAGCCTTCCCAGCGCCCAGCCCCGTGTCCTGTGCTGCCTGCCTTCCTGTCCGCATGGCCGCGGCCATTCTTCCCATAGGAGCCGCAGCACAAAGCCCACCCGGTCTGGCGGGGGTCTCCCTGCTCCCTCCTGTGCACATGCCCTCAGCTCCCCCGCCCGCAGCCCCCAGTCCAGACGCAGCGCCTGCTTAGAGGCAGGCTCAGGAGGTCTTGATCTTCTGGCCCCTGCATGCCCCCCAGGCCGTGTCTGGCCCACGGTCTGCGCTCCCCGAGTCACCCCCGAGCAGGGGGCGCCTGGGAGAGAGGGGGCGCATTCCCAGGGCCACTGCTGTGATGGAGGACTTCGTGCTGTGCCCCACTCGGCCTTGGGCAGCTGTGCGACCTGGGGACTGTCCACTCATGGGCACGGAGGCCCAGGCCTGCGGAAGGCTCGGGGATGGCGGCAGGTCCTGGCCAGCTCTGCCGGCCTCCATGTGGACTAACCCCAGGGACCCGCAGGGAGGGCCTGGGGGCCGGGGGCGGAGCATGCATGGGCGGCCACAGTGGTTCCTGACACTGTGGGTGGCTGAGTGGGCTATGGCCTTGGACATGGGACTCCTGGCATCTAGGGCTGCTCCGAGAGAGAGAGACAGAGAGAGAGAGAGAGAGAGGGGAAGGAGCCCCGGCACTCCCACCCAGCACCCGCCCCCTCTCCCCCCACCCCCCGCCTGTCTGCCTCGCTGCCTTGCAGACCCGAGTGCCCGGCGAGAGCCCCCGCCCTGGCCTCACCCGTGAAGAGGATGTAGTCGAATCTGTGTTCCAGCAGCTGCCCGGTCTCCTCGGGGCCCCCCAGCACCACGGCGAAGCAGCTCTGGGGTGGGGGGGAGCTGGGCTCAGGGGCAGGTCCTGGGGCAGGCAGGGGTGGGGGCACTGGCTGCGCGGGGGCAGGGCCACCCTCACCTGGTCCAGGTACCGGGGCAGCACCTCGGCCAGCACCTTCTCCGTGCCCTTGCTAATTTCCGAGGGCTTTAGCACCACGCAGTTCCCTGTGTGTGGGGGGAGGGGAGGGATGGGGAGGCCCGGCCCACACCCGCCCTCACACACACACCTGGTCACGCACCTGGTCACACACCTGGCTTCACACACCTGCCCTCACACACCTGGTCACACACCTGGTCACACACACCTGGTCACACACCTGGCCTCACACACCTGGTCACACACACTTGGTCACACACCTGGTCACACACCTGGTCACACACCTGGTCACACACTTGGGCTCGTACACCTGCCCTCACGCATCTGGGCTCACACCCCCGCTATTGGGCAGGCAGGCGCCAGCCTCACCCGTTTTCAGCTGGCAACGGCTCAGAGAGGTGGCACCATGGCAGATCTGAGTTCATCAGCGCAGGGACACGCACCCAGTGGGACCACTGTGCCATTCTGCCACGGCCGCCAGGCTCCGCGGGCGGGCGAGGGGCGGCTCTCACCTGCGGCGATGGCCCCCACCAGGGGCACCAGCGTCAGGTTCACGGGGTAGTTCCAGGGGGCGATGATGAGCACCAGGCCGTAGGGCTCCTTCCGGATGAAGGCGGAGTCCAGCTGAGTGGCCTGCCGGGAAACCGGGGTGAAGTGCAGGGCGCCCACCCCCAGCCCAGAGAGGCCCCCAGGGGGCAGCCAGGCCCCGCCCCCGCCAGCTCACCAGGTTCCTGGGCACGCGCTCGTCTTGGCTCCAGGCCCGCAACTTCCTGAGGGCCAGCTTGATCTCGCCCAGGCTGATGCCCAGCTCGGACACCTCCGCCTCGAAGGCCGACTGTGGGGGAGGGGGCCCAGCGTGAGCAGGTGGCCGGAGGCGTGGGCCAGGCCTGCACCCCTGGCTCACTCCCTTCCCGTGCCAGGGACAGCCCCAGGAGGATGGGACAGGTGCCCGGGACACGTGGGGGCTGGCGACACCTGGAGTGGGGGCGGGGCATGGGTGTGCCTGACTGTGCATCCTGTGTGTGTGTGTGTGAGAGAGAGAGAGAGAGAGAGAGAGAGGGAGAGAGGGAGAGACGGTCAGCCGAGGCAAGAGGTGACATTTGAGCCGTGGTCTAAGGCAAGCAGGGCGCCCGTGGGGTCAGGAGGTGCAGTGTTCCGGGCAGCAGGCGCAAAGTCTTGGTCTGTCCTGCTTTGCAGGGAACAGTGCAGGTGAGGTGAAGGGGCTGGGCTCCTGGGCGGCCCTGGGGTGGGCAGCCTGGCAGCCTTTGACGCAGGACTCACAGAGACCGGGCACGGCCACGCTGCCGCCATCACAGCCTGGGGCGCAGGGGCAGGAGTCAGGAGGGGACAGCACTCAATAGGGACATTGTCCTGATCTCTGTCCCTCAGAGACCAGCCCGAAGGCTGCAGGCGGCCAAAGGCCACTGGCAGGGACGCTGGCCCCAGGCTGTCTCCCTGCCACTGCGGTGCCAGCTGATGGCCCCGGGGGCAGGGCGGGCCAAGGCCCGAGGAGGGGGGGCGTGGCAAGGCTGCGGCTGGAGGGGAGGGGGCCGTGGCCCCCAGCACCCCCAGCACAGGCCCGCTTTCCGCTGCCCCTGTGTCCCAGCCGCCGCTCCGAGCCGGCCAGCCTCGTGCTGCCTTCCACGCCCTGCCGAGCGCCCTGCTGTGGGCAGGTGGCGGTTTGGAGCCAGGCTCCCACCCTGGCCTTCTCGGCGTCTCCTCGGGGGGCTGCTGCCCTACAAGGAGGGCCGTGGGGGTTAAGTGGGCAGATGCTACAATTTTCTGGGCTGCTGATCCCTTTGTGCGGCCAGGCTCCTTCCCGGAGTCCGGAGGTGAAATCGGAGCCGAGAGAGAAAAGGGACCAGATAGCGCAAGCGGGGCTCAGGCTCAGGCTGGCTGCGGCCCAAGGGGTGTGTCCGGTGGGGGGGTCAGTTCCCAGGGAGCCGGCAGGGGAGGGGAGGGGCTGTGACACCGTGGCCTTTGAAGCCACAGCAGGGGACGTCCGCAGAGAGCAGCCGGGGGCAGCTCCCGGAGTCCAGCGGGTGGGCCTTGTTGGGGCCGGGGGCTGGGGGGGTGGCCACAGGGCCAGGTGTTCTGAGGCTGCTGCCCACACGGAGAGGGGCTCAGCCCTCAGCTCGCCTGGGTTCAGAGGCCGCGGTGCCCACAGCACCCAGAGTCCACTGAGTTCCCTGCCTCTCTCCCTGTCCACACTAAGACCTTCTGTGGGGCCTGTGGCTGCCCAGCGTGTGGTCCAGCGGTCCGCGGCCGAATGCTCAGCTCTACAGGCACTGGACGGCGTCACATTCCCCTCTGTATCCCTGGAGCTCAGCAGAGATCCCAAACATAGCAGGTGCACAACGGGTGTTTGTGGAGATGAACGAGAGAATGAATGAGTGCAGGTGATGAATGGGTGCACAGGTGAATGAATGAGTGGGAGAATGAATGAATGAGTGGGTGAATGAATGAGTGGGCGGGTGAATGAATGAGTGGGCGAATGAATGAATGAGTGGGTGCGTGAATGAATGAATGAGTGGGTGGGTGAATGCATGAATGAGTGGGTGAATGAATGAGTGGGTGGGTGAATGCATGAATGAGTGGGTATGCAATGGTGGATGGGTATGTGGATGGATGAGAGTGCAGATGGGTGAATGAGTGGGTGAATGAATGAGTGGGTGAATGAGTGAGTGGGTGAATGAGTGAGTGGGTGAATGAGTGAGTGGGTGAATGAGTGAGTGGGTGAATGAATGAGTGGGTGGGTGAATGCATGAATGAGTGGGTGAATGAATGAGTGGGTGGGTGAATGCATGAATGAGTGGGTATGCGGATGGTGGATGGGTATGTGGATGGATGGATGAGAGTGCAGATGGGTGAATGAGTGGGTGAATGAATGAGTGGGTGAATGAATGAGTGGGTGAATGAGTGAGTGGGTGAATGAATGAGTGGGTGAATGAGTGAGTGGGTGAATGAGTGAGTGAGTGGGTGAATGAGTGAGTGGGTGAATGAATGAGTGGGTGGGTGAATGCATGAATGAGTGGGTATGCGGATGGTGGATGGGTATGTGGATGGATGGATGAGCGTGCAGATGGGTGAATGAGTGGGTGAATGAATGAATGAGTGGGTGGATGAATGAATGAGTGGGCGAATGAATGAATGAGTGGGTGCGTGAATGAGTGGGTGCGTGAATGAATGAATGAGTGGGTGGGTGAATGCATGAATGAGTGGGTATGTGGATGGATGGACGAGCGTGCAGATGGGTGAATGAGTGGGTATGCGATGGATGAGTGAGTGAGAGGGTGCCAGCGGCAGCTCCTGGCCCGGGGACGGAGCCGGACGTGCCGGCCCTTGGGCGCCCCTCGTGGGTGTGCAGCCGTCCCCGCCCCGCCGCGCCCCTGCCGCCCACCTTGTGCAGGTCCTGGGCCAGCGCGGCCTGCAGGAGCTGCCTGTTCTCCTGCAGGAAGCGGCTCAGGCCCCGGAGCTGCGTAGCCCGGAACTCGGCCGGCCGCGTGCGCCCCGCGTCGAAGGCCTCCCGCAGCCGCTGCAGCCGGTCCTCCAAGGGCTCCATCCTGCGGGTGTGGGGGGCGGGAACGGGGCAGTCAGCACCCGCGGGGCTCACGGGCACCCCCACAAGCCACGGGACCCCCCGCCGGCTGTCTGCAGCCCCTGGGGCTGACACACACAGTGCACGCACACACATGCATGGGTGCACCCACAGGGACCCCGGGCCACCCCCTCAGCACAGGCCACGCCCCTCCTGCTGCAGGGCTGAGCCCAGGGCCCTCCCAGCTCCACTGTTGCCTGGCATGAGTGACACTATCGAGACGCCACCCACGGCCACCATGGCCACCATGTCCAAACACTCAGAACTCTGCCCCGCCCCCAGCCCGGGACGCTGCCCAGGGCGTCCTGGCCACCAGGGGTGGCTCATAGGCCCAGGTGACCTCGGCTGTGGCCGCCTGTCCCTGGCAGAAGGGGAAAGAGTCAGGACCCCCCCACAGGCTGCAGGGGTCCGAGGGGGAGGTGATGGGGGAGGGGAGAGCAAGGGGCCAGGGGCCTGTGTGCCATCATGCTGTCGGTTGCAGCCAGGGCTGGCGGGCCGGGCGGGGGCCCTGACGCTCCCCTGGGCCCCAGCTGTTTACCTGAGCCTCGTCAGGGGCACGCTCTGACACACTCACTCCTCGGCCTGGTGCCCAGGACCCTTCCCTCTGACACCTTCCCTTCCAGTCTCAGCCTGGCTGGTGCCTTCTCCAGGCAGCCCACCCTGATTACTCCCTCACCTACTTTCCTAGCGGCCCCTTGGTGCCCCCCACTGTACCTAGTCACACTGGGTGGCAAGTACCTGGTTGCCCTCTGCCCACTTGTCCCTCTGTGCCCGGGGAGGCAGAGCCCTCTTGGCTGGCTGAGCCCATTACGTGGGTCTCAGTGCCCCAGCTGCCTCCTCTGTTGGGATGTGATGGCTCCATGGGGGACAGGGTGTTCATGAGGGGAGAGACCACTGAGGCTGTCCACACAGCCTGAGTCTCCCCGCAGCCACCTGAGGACTGAGCCTGCTCTCACCCGCTGGACGGCCTGGCCCGACCGCTGTGGGAGCAGGTGCCCACAGCTGTGCCCGGCTGAGTGCTGCAGGCCCAGGTCACACCCAGCTGCCCCGGCTGGGAGCTGGGGACAGGCACCACGGCTCCCGGAGAGGCCACCGCCGAGGGCCGGCAGACACGAGCCCGGCCGCCTCCAGAGCCACCCCCGGCGCTCGTCCCCCGGCTCTGCCCCCGTCCCCGCCTCTGCCCCCGTCCCCACCTCTGCCCCCCTCTCCAGCCTCTGCCCCCTCCCCCGCCTCTGCCCCCTCCCCCGCCTCTGCCTCAGTTTCTTCAGCTGTACGGCAGGGTTGCCGACAGCGCGGGGACTGGGGTCAGGACTGAGTGGCCCGTGAGCTCAGCCTGGGGGTCCCGACCCTGCCAGCTGCCTGGCTCCCGCCGGCCCCGCCCTCACCTCAGACTCCTGTGGACGGTGCCAAGGCAAAGCGTGCGCCGCCCCCGTCTTCAGGAGTCCCTGCGGGGCACCCACAGAAATGCAAGGGTGTGCCCGGGGGGCAGGGGCACTCTGTGGGTGGAGCCTGCAGGGAACATTCCAGCACCCATGCCTAGCAACACGGAGGCCGGCCGAGCCCCAGCGTGCGCAGCTGGGGGGTGGGAGCCAGGCCCGGGGCAGGCAAGCAGAGGTGCCGGGCTGCCTGCTGCCCACGGTCTGGGGGGACCCGGGCCTGCGACCTTCAAGGGAACCAAGCAGTCACTGCAGGCGTGAGGCCCCAAGCCCCGGCCCCGGCACAGGCCACACGAGTTCTGCCCGTGCCTGCCCACGGCAACAGCCCGGGGGGGCCCACGAGCCACTGCGTTGTAGGAGGAGGGAGGCAGAGGAAGGACAAGGCGCCCAGCACACTGGGCAGCCCCCCCAACCTCCCTGACCCGCTCCCCCGCTGGGCAGGAGCAGGGCGGTCCCGGGGAGGGGCGGCCGGGGTCCAGGGGGCTCCGGCGGTCAGCAGCGGAGGAAGGACCCCCGGCCATTTTCACTCCCTGCCACGCCTCTGAGAGCCAGCTGGGCGTCCGAGCCCCCCCATTCCTGCTCAGGGTGAGCGCTGGGGCACGGGAGCCTCGGGCCTCAGGGTCCTGGTGACGATAGGGTGGGAATGGGTGCCCCCCTGGGGTGGGCTGGCAGGACCAGCCACTCCCCCTCCCGCCTCAGGCCTTGGGCTTCTTCTACAACCACCAGGTGCAGCCTGTGCCGCGTGGGTGCTCCCCGGGGCGACGGAGTTGTGCACGGAAGAGGGGCAGGCGGGGTGGGGTCCTGCTGGAGGGCTCGCCCTGGCCCGTCACGGGGGCTGCATCCCAGGGGCCTCCGGAGCATCCCACCACCGTCTTCCCCTGGGTCGAATCCTAGCGACAGGTGTCAGCAGGAGGCCTCGGGCTGGTCGCTCTCTGCCCGTCTGTGAAATGGGGACTTCCCACGGCCACCTGGAGCAGAGTGGCCCAAAGCTCAGTCGCCATGGCTCAGACCGGATGCCCTGGGGTGGGGGTGGGGCTGGCGGGGGCCCTGAGGGGCCTGGACCCAGCGTGGGTGCGGTGGGGAGGTCAGGACATCAACTTGAGACGGAGGAGGGGCGGGGGCACAGGTGATGGAGAGGAGTGCCCCTGGGGGCTGCGGGCTGGGGTCCCGGGTCAGCCTGAAGCCTCCCCAGGCCCCACTGCCCGCTGTCCCGGGTCCCCGTTCTCATCCCCTGGCCTTCAGCCTTCTGGGATGCTCACGGGGTCGCCCACAGTGGGGGCGGCAGCCCCTCCCTTCCTCCCTCCCTCCCATGGGGGCTGGGGGAGGCGGGGACAGAGGTGTCGCTGTGGCCGTGGGTCAGGCCGAGCTCCAGGCCCCCACAGGTCCTCGGGTCCCCGCGAGGCGGGGCCGTCTGCCTGGTTCCTCCCTCCCAGCACTGTGACAAAGTCCACAGCTCAGAAGTCTCTCCTGGGCACTGCCCAGGCCCCGCGTGCATGCAGCCCCCCACGTCCCGGATCCCTTGGCTCCCTGTGGGATGTGTGGTCAGCCCGGCCTGGGCCCCTCCTCCTCCTCCTCCTTCCCTTTTTTCGCTGTCTGGCGGCTGCTGGGCTCCTCCAGGGACAAGGCAGGCCTGTGTGTGCACCCGAGAGGCCAGGCCCACCAGGGCGACCAGCAGCCCGGAGTCGTTGGGCTGGACCCCTGCCCCGACTGCCCGTCCGGCCGCCCCAGCCTTCCCGGGGACACTGTACCTGGGGCCCCGCCGCTCTGAGTGCTGCTGGCCGTCCCTGCTCTGCCCGGCCACTCTGCGGTTATGAAATGTCCAACGCCGGGCCAGCCCCTGGGCGGGGCGGCTCTGGCCTCGTGCCCGGCCTCGGCTCCCGGCCAGGCGGAGGCTGTGGGCTGAGATTCAGCCTCAGCTGCCCTCAGGAACTTCCTGGACCACAGGGAGACACTGGGGCCCAGAGATGGCCAGCACGGGGTCAGGGCCGCACAGCAGGTCTGAGCTCGGAACCCAGCGCCTGGGGGACAGCAGAGCCGGCTCTGCTCCCCGTGCCGAGACTTCCCCTAAGGCGTCCCCCACGGTGAGTGACCCTCAGTTTCCCCAAAGCGAAGAGGTCAGACCCCAGACTGGCCGAAGTCCACATCCACCGCCTGCCCGCTCCATGTCCCAACCCCACGTATCTGTGTCTCTCGGCACCGCCCCCCAGAGCACTGTGTCATCGGAACTCAAGACACCCCTGAAACCCGACGTCTCACAAAGCAAACGGGCCGAGAGGGTGTGGAGCCCCCCAACCCCCGCCCCGGGCCCCGGGGGGCTGGCTTTGCGTGCGCCCGGCTGGGGCTGACCTCGGGTGTCGCCTCTGGCCCCCGCGACAGTGCTCCCCATGCTGCCTCCAAGGTCCCGCCGCTCCTCCGCTGGGGCTGTGCTGGGGGCCGCCCCCTCCTGCCCCGGCCCCCGCCCCACCCTAGGCACACCTGTCGGAGCCAGCACAAAGGGGATGAGCCCCGAGCAGCGCAGGTGTCGGACAGGCTGCCGGTTGGGTTACGGGCTGGGAGGGGCACCCTTTGTGCCAGTGCTGCTCCCGTCCCCCCGCTCGGTTGCCAGTGCCCTGGGTCTCCCTGGGCTCCTGGCCCCAGGGCCTCTGCGCCGACCTGGCTCCTGGGAGACGCTCATCTCTGCCCGCTCTGGCGCCCCGGCCTACCTGGGAGGGCGTGGAGGGCTGCTGGTCCTCGCCCGCGGTGGGAGCCCCAGGAGGACTGTCGGCTGGGGCAGGGGTGAGGGGCGCAGAGGCCCTGGGCCTGCTTGCAGGGGATGGAGCCCCCAGCCACCGCCTGTCACGTGGCACGGCATGTGACAGTCCTGCTCGGCTGATCTCTGGAGCAGAGCCAGGCAGCGGCAAAGGCAGAGCGAGTGACAGGCGGGGCCGGGCTGGGGCTGAGCCTGCAGCTCCGGGCCAGGAGCGGGGCCCAGAGAGGGGCAGCCACTGGCCTAGGGTCACACAGCAAGTCACGGATCCACGTGGGGAGGTACCGGTGAGTGGGAGGAGTGTCGGGCCCTCTCCCTGGCCAGGGGGTCCCCCTGCAGGGGCCGAGCTTGTCATGATTCAGGGGCAGCCTGGGAGGAGGCCCCAAGGACGCTGTCTTCCAGGGACAGGGTCTGAAGTGCCCTGCCCGGGTTCCACCGGGTCTCAGGGCACAGGACCAGTCCCTGCTCTCTCGCGAGGGTCCTCAGGCCTCAGAGGGTGGACAGCCTGGGAGCGATGGCGCCGAGGAGAGCTGGGACCACTGGGGACCCCGGAGCCAGGCCCAGCTCCAGCCTGGGTGGGTGCTGTGGTGGCCGCGGCCGAGGTCGTGGCCTGGGGACACAGGGCCACGCTCCTGCGGTCCTGCCCCCGTGTTGTCCTGTGAACGCCAGGCTGGGAGAACCGGTGCCGACTCGGGCGAGACCTCGGAGCCCATGGCCCAGCACCTGGCACGGGCGGGCTGCGGGCCGGGTCTGGTTCCAGTCCTCGGCCGGTCGCTTACCTGTGTGACCTCGGGCTGCGTCCTCCGTGCTCCCACCCATGAAATGGGGTCCGTGATGGGACACGTCCCGCAGTGAGTGAGGCGGCCCGCAGCCGTGGGCCTGGAACTGCTCCCACGCCGCCCCCCTGTCCCCTGGTGGAGGCTCAAGTTGTGCCTTACAACTGAGACCTCCCATTCAGAGAGGTGCGGTGACTCGGCCAGGGCCACACAGCGGGGACACAGGGATTCAAACCCAGATGGGGCTGCCTCCCCGCCCGCAGCACGCCACAGGTGCCTGGAGCTTGCCCAGGGGGGCCGGGTCCTCGTCCAGCTCCAAGGAACCTCCTATCTCAGACAAAAGCAGCAGCCTGGTTCCTGGACACGTGTACCAGGGGCGGGGCATGGGCGGGGGCAGCATCCGCAGCTTACCTCACTGGGGGCACGCCCAGCGCCCACCTGACCCTGCAGGCTTGGGGTCTGCCACCTTCTACTACCGCATACGCCAATTTCTTTCCTCCTCCTCCTCCTTCTGATTCATTTATTTGAAAGTCAGAGTTTCAGCGAGAGAGGAAGAGACAGAGGTCTTCCATCCACTGGTTCACTCCCCAGTTGCTGCAATGGCCAAGGCTGGGCCAGGCTGACACCAGGAGCCAGGAGCTTCTTCCAGGTCTCCCATGTGGGTGCAGGGGCCCAAGCACTTGGGCTGTCTTCCACTGCTTTCCCAGTGGAGCAGCTGATGGCATGGACCAGTGTCCGTATGAGATGCCAACATCACAGGTGGCACCTTTACCCACTATGTAACCATACCAGCCCAAGCAATTTCTTTTCTTTTCTTTTAAAAATTTATTTATTGGGGCCAGCGCTGTGGCTTAGTGGATAGAGCAGCCACCTGCAGCGCCAGCATCCCATATGGGTGCCAGTTCGAGTCCTGGCTGCTCCTCTTCCCATCCAGCTCTCTGCTGTGGCCTGGGAAAGCAGTGGAGGATGGCCCAAGTCCTTGGGTCCCTGCACCCGCATGGGAGACCAGGAGGAGGCTGCAAGCTCCTGGCTTCGGATCAGCACAGCTCCGGCCACTGCAGCCAATTGGGGAGTGAACCAGCAGATGGAAGACCTCTCTCTCTCTCTCTCTCTCTCTCTCTCTGCCTCTCCTTCTCTCTCTGTGTAACTCTTTCAAATAAATAAATCTTTAAAAATTATTTATTTACTTGAAAGGCAGAGTTATGGGGGGGGAGAGAAAGAGAGAGAGAAAGATCTTCCATTCATCGATTCACTCCCCAAATGACTGCAACAGCCGGGAGCCAGGAGCTTCCTCTGGGTTGCCCATGCGGGTGCAGGGGCCCAAGGACCTGGGCCATCTTCTACTGCTTTCCCAGGCCACAGCAGGGAGCTGGATGGGTAGTGGAGCAGCCAGGACTCGAACCAGCACCCAAATGGGACACGGCACCACTGGCAGTGGCTTTACCCACTACGACACAGTGCCGGGCCATCCATGAACTTTTGGAAGACCCCATCATTTGCATGAATTGTGAAACTGTTCACACTAAAACCACTTGTCTTTCTGCGCAGGCATTTGTTATAGGTGCCGAGACACCTCTCGCGACAGCTGCACACCCTTCAGAGTCCTGGGTTCAAGTCTGGCTCCCTGCTCATGTGCTAACGGCCCTAGTAGCTGCGCCCCTGCCTTTCACGCAGGAGACCAAAGTGGAGCTCCTGGCTCCCGGCTTTGCCCGGCCCAGCCCTGGCTGTTGTGGGCATTTGGGGAGTGAACCAGAGGATGGAAGACCTCTGTCTGCCTGTCAAATAAAATGAAAATAAATAATAAATCAAAATACTTTAAAGTAATTTACCTCAATTCCATTTTGGGTGCACTTTTTGGAGTCCCTGAGTGGAGCCTCACGCTCTCTGGGGGCCCCCGGCTGCCCCAGGTCTTCCATGGGGGGATACGTGGCACCACTAGGCTTGGGGCCTCCCCGGCCCCCCTCCCTGTCCCATGCCCCCAGCCCCCCCCCCAGCAGACACCAGCACCCGTGAGCTCTGCCCCGTGGCCGGCCTCTGGCCTGGGCCTGGTTCTGCTCCCCCCAGCGGGGGCCCCAGACCTGACGCTGGGTGTCCCCGGTGACACACACCTGCTTCAGTTGGGGAAGGACCTGGCCACGCTGAAACGCGCCCCCTGTGTCCCAGCTGTTCTCTGGCTCAGGGCAGCAGGGGCGCGGGTGCCCCACGGGGCTGGGTGGTGGGGTCTGGCTGCAGCTCCAACCTCCCTCTGGGCCTCCGGGGACCTGTCACCTCCATCACCCCGCCCCCGCCCACCGGAGGGGTCCAGCTCGCCCCCCTCTCTCCACCCCATTTGCAGAATTCCTGCTATGGGGCTCTCTCCTCGGCTGCGGAGGGAGCAGTGGGGTTTGTGCGTGGAGGGGTGAGGGCCCCTAACGTGGGGGGGTCCTGGGGGCTCCGATCCCTGGTGGGGATCCTCCCGGGCTCCACTTCTGTAACACAGAGCCTCAGGGAGTGCATGGGCCAGGCTTAGTAAGTAGGCGGGGTTTGACAGGGTGGTGACGGGGATGACCGCCTCGGGCAGGCTCTGTGAGTTCCAGCCAGGGTGCTGGGGTGTGCGTGGGGGTGTGGGCGGGGCCTGAGTGTGCCCCAGGGGTGTGGGCGGGGCCTGAGTGTGCTCCCTGGTGTGGGCGGGGCCTGAGTGTGCTCCCTGGTGTGGACAGGGCCTGTGTGCCCCAGGGGTGTGGACAGGGCCTGAGTGTGCTCCCTGGTGTGGACAGGGCCTGTGTGCCCCAGGGGTGTGGACAGGGCCTGAGTGTGCTCCCTGGTGTGGACAGGGCCTGTGTGCCCCAGGGGTGTGGACAGGGCCTGAGTGTGCTCCCTGGTGTGGACAGGGCCTGAGTGCCCGGGGATGTGGGCGGGGCCTGAGTGTATGCCCTGGTGTGGGCGGGGCCTGAGTGTGCTCCCTGGTGTGGACAGGGCCTGTGTGCCCCGGGGGTGTGGGCGGGGCCTGAGTGTGCTCCCTGGTGTGGACAGGGCCTGTGTGTGCTCCCTGGTGTGGACAGGGCCTGTGTGCCCCGGGGGTGTGGGCGGGGCCTGAGTGTGCTCCCTGGTGTGGACAGGGCCTGTGTGTGCTCCCTGGTGTGGACAGGGCCTGTGTGCCCCGGGGGTGTGGGCGGGGCCTGAGTGTGCGCCCTGGTGTGGGCGGGCCTGAGTGTGCTCCCTGGTGTGGGCGGGGCCTGAGTGTGCTCCCTGGTGTGGACAGGGCCTGTGTGCCCCGGGGGTGTGGGCGGGACCTGAGTGTGCTCCCTGGTGTGGGCGGGGCCTGAGTGTGCTCCCTGGTGTGGACAGGGCCTGTGTGCCCCGGGGGTGTGGGCGGGACCTGAGTGTGCGCCCTGGTGTGGGCGGGGCCTGAGTGTGCTCCCTGGTG